CTCAGCATGAGCTATTTTTAGATCCAGAGAAACACACACACACACACACCCATCCACCCCCCTGTTAGCATGTTATTTCACCTCCAAATGTGGTGCTTGAAGACAGCCTGCACTTTGTAGCTATGTTTAGATATAACCTCAAATAAATACAAACGCCTTTCCATCTGCCCTTGAGCATTTTTCCCCCCTCATCCTGCTATATCTATGCACAAATTCTTCCTGCTGTCTTACTGTACACGCAGAAGGGACCATTATTTTTAAGGACCAAATCCAAGGCCAGGGTATAATTACAGCAGCAAGCATGTGAGCTGAGTGGCAGGAAGGAGCTCTGTGGTTCTTCTGGGAGGTTGTCTGGTGTTACACTGTATAATGTACACTGATAATCAGCTGGACGATGCAGAGAAAGTCAAGTAGTGAGCAGTGACAGTATCAGATCTTGTGCTATAACTGAAAAGGGCAGACGTTCGCTCAATCGCTCAAAACCAAACGGGATGAGGAGAGATTGCAGTCAAGATGGCTCATCAGCTGGGGTCGGTGAAGTAAAATCCACCATCTGGTCAGGCTGTTGAGGAAATTACTGTTTAAAGGGAAGTGGTAAAAACAGGTTAAAAACCCTCCCAAAAAACTCTACAGATTTAATCTGCAAATTGTGTTTTATTTTCAAGCTTAAAAAAGCATTTGTGTACAAAATCTCTACTCATGGTTACTTGAAACAGTAAAAGCCTTATAAAATACATCACATGTGATTACATTACATCACTCAAGATTTAGAAATTTCGCAGATTAAATTCTGAGCGAATGTTTGCTCTCACTCTTTCTTTCTTGCTATCTTTAGTCTTTATTTTTTAAGTGGATTTAATTGTCATTTTTGCTTTTAATGAAGAGAGCCAGAAGTTTAAAAAGCAATAAGATTCCCCCGTATAGAATAAAAGCAGGGATATCCCAGCGATGTGGTTTGCCTGATCAGCATGATCTTTTCACACACGTAATAATAAATATATCCCTACAAAAAATAAATAAATCACACTTTAACACCCATGTCTCCACCAGAGTGAAAGCATCACCCCTCATAATGAATTGAGTTACACGTTTAATGTTCAATCAGTGGATGGAGAGCCACCCTCCACGTTTATCTTTTTCCACTTTTTGAGGTTGCAGAGACACCTTGTGGCCACAATGTAGCTGCAACTTCTTTTTTTGTCTTGTCACAGCATTTGACTTTGAATTTGCCTAAACGTCCTGTAAATGGGGAAGCACTATGGTGCAGTGTGTAGCACTGTTGTCTTACAGCAAGGGTTCAAATCCACCATCTGTGTGGTTTTTGCATATCCAACCCGTATCTGTGTGGTTTTTATCCAGG